CCTCCTTTGGAAAGAAAACGTATCGAGAATGAAAATACTTGAGATTGTGAAAGAGAGAGATTTGTTCTGAACAACAAAAAAAGACATAGGGAAATTTCCTATATTTTTAAAGTAAATGAGGGAGGAGGGACAGAGGGAGTAACCTCCCACTCTCCACCTCACCAGCAAAAATATTGGGAAATGGTAAGTAGTTATGGGACCGTTTGGTAACGTTCCCGTTTCTTATTTCTCGTTTTTCGTTTTCATTTTTCTTAAGAAATCTAAGTATTTTACAACTAACTTTGTTTCTTATTTCTCCTTTTCTGGGAACATTCTCACAATTTTATAGAAATTTTGGAAAAAATCAAAACAAGTTTATCTTTTCTTGTTCCCATTTCCAATTGATCGTAAAACATAAATAAAAATATTGTTTTATCATACTTGAATTCTTGAAGGTTGAAACCATACAACACATTTTTCTTCATTAAAAGTAAAGAAACAGAAATAAGAATCAGGAACGTTACCAAACGAGCCATATGTTAATTATATTAATTGATATAATTGATATAATTGATATAATTAACATTTTATTTAATTAAATAATTAATTAAATTAAAATTATTTTAATTTAATAGATTATATTTAATTAAACTAAAACTATTTTAATTTAATTAATAATTAATTAAATCTTAATTAATTAATTAATTAAACGTAATTTAATTAAATCTCATTTAATTAAATTAATTGATTTTTTTTAGAGAAAAGAAATTTCATTAAAAGGGATCTGCCACATGGGCTACAAAAGAAGTAGCTTCATTAAGAGTCAAGTTATTTAACCAAGCAGGAACATCGCCAATCCAAGAAGAAGAAGACGATGAACGGAGACTGAACTTTGTGAGAGAATCTGCCAATTGATTATGCTCACGACGAACATGCATGATGGAAAAGGGGCGGAAATCCCTAACCAGCACCTTGATATGTCGAATATCCACACTCCTTCAAGACCCATGGTTGAAGTATTTCCTAAAATTAGGTTGACAGCCCCAATCGAATATGAGAGAAGCACAATGTCATCACAGACAATCGTTCGAGCAAATCGGAGGCCTTCAAGAAATGCTCAAATTTCTGCAGACAAAGGAGAGAGGGGATTTATGAGAAATAGGGATCGAGCAGCTTGAATTTCCCCAGCTGAATTCCGTAGAACCAAACCAAGCCTCGAAGCGGAACCACGACAAGTAGCATCAACATTAAGGAAGAGACCGCCAGAGGACATGCTAGGTCCAATTGATCGTCGACGAGCAGAAATTGGAGGAAGATGACCATGGGGGATTGTGTTGGTGCGAGTAAAAGAAGCAATATAATGGGTAATCCAAAGACTCTTCGTTTCAGTGTCAGGAATAGGCTTGTTTTGATTAAATTAATTGATATTTGAACCGTATTCAAATACACATATCTCTCATAACCTATAGTATTTAATATGAATCCAATTCACATTAAATGTTTAACCTATAGTTTTAATATGAATCCAATTCATATTATTCCCTCATAATATATAGTTTTATAATGTATCATCATACATTATATTAAATTGTGTTACACACAATTAACTCAAATTCCCTTAAATTTAAACAATTCAAATTCTTTCTAAGATTTAATGTTCTTAATTACCTTTTATGAGCTAGCAAGAGGACTTAATGGACCTATAGATCAGAAGCTCCAACGTTTGGATTAATTGGTTAAACTCATTAACCACCATAATCAACATACGTTAACTACGGTTACTCCATTAAAAACCCGCAGCTGAACTCTTCTCACTATAGAATATTTCTATGTCCACGGATATCGACCATTAACGACAAGTCAATCCTTCACAAGTGTTTGTAACCACATACGGGTCAAATTACCGTTTTACCCCTATGTAACATCATGTAACTTAAGTATCGCTGATCCTCTAATGAACAACTCGATTATGGTCCGACCAATAATCGGAAGTCCATCTCGAGCTTGTGAGAGAGTGGAACCCCATGTTCAAGTCCCGAAGTTAACACTAAAGGGAACACTAATCTACTCCCCTAAAGTCGGGGAGGAGTTAATTCCATCTTGTGTAGTTATGTTCCCAGCTCCTCACTCGATCTCATCCCCAAAATGGTGAGAATGTTGAGTCGGTGACTCGGACCACTCTCACCCATATAGTCAAAGAACGATCCCTCATGGGCAGGAGTCCATAACCCACTCAAGCTTGAGAATGAGTTGCCTAGTCATCCTAGCTATGAAATAGCAATCTGTTAGTCAATAGCGTTACATCTAAAGATTGGCTATTTCGTGGTCCGGTCTTATACAAACTCATTGTATAGGATACCCACACTCGCATGTCTTCACAAACTAGGTCGTATCTATGGTGTTGCCAAGATAAGGTACCCAGCCTTATCCATATACTATAGACTCTTCAGATTATTACCAGGACATTATCCACTTGTATATCAAGGATATTCAAATATATACCCAGTATATATATTATCCCGGTTACATGACAATAACATTGGATGTGTAGTTTATTGGATTAGATAATTGCAATGTTATGAATTCAACAACAAATTGATTAAATATAACTTTATTGAATATAAATTTGTTTTTACATAAATACAAACTACGAGTTTAAGACAACACACCCAACAGCTGGAGTATTGGAGCTAATTCTAGAAAAAGTGAGCTGACAGTGACAACAGGCTTTTATTTGAGAAATTACTGTAGTAAAAGTTATTTTACCAATTTTTTCACAGGATTTCATGTGCCCTTTAGCTTTTGCCCTTTAAGGGGGGATATAAATACTTTAAGAGATGGATTACCCTCCATGGATTCTTCATCAATCCCAAGAGAGAACAAGACAAGACAGAAAGGAAGATTCTTACATTTTTGTTACGGAGGAACTGGAAGAAGACAGAAAGGGAGCTGATACAGTAAAATGACGACTATCATTCTTCATTTTCTTCTTCTTTTATATTCTCTAGTTCATGGGTTTTGTATTTTTCTTCTTCCCTTTACTTTGTTATGACGTTAAGTAGCTAACTACCTTAAGGGGGTTGTAAACCTTTACTGTGATCACTGATTTTTTGGTTTATGAAGTTGTTCGTACTTAGTTAAAAGCTTGTTTTTCATTTTTCATGTTTAATGTAATTGATCACCATGTTGAGTGACCTCTTTATTAGCTTTTGGGAGTTTGTAATAAGAGAGAGAGACTTTAACTTGTATTACATCTATCTTTGAGTATATTGTGGGTACTTAGGAATAAGACTCACCTAATATGACTAAAAATTGTTATGATATATCGTTGGTCCAATTGAGGTTTGGAGTAGCGTCAAAATCAGGGTAATCTGGGAAGATGTCGTGTTTGTTTGGCAAGTAGTTTTACAACCTTATTTTTTGAGCATCGGTTAGTAATATCATAGTAACAGGAACATAGCCCCCCCTACATTTGAGTCTCTGTTTTCACTTCTCTATTATTGTGTTTGTGCTAAGGGTTTGATACTTTTAAATTTGTTTTTATTAATGTTTTAATGCACTTTTATCTTATTTGCAAAGTTGTGTTAATTTGAAATATCGTCTATTGTTTATTTTTCTTAGTTATTGAGTGAAAGTTGGAGCGGTTTAGTTACTCAATCCCTGTGGATATGTTTTTTATCACTTGTTACGTGATTGTGTACAGTTGCACTAGGATTGCTAAAATCGTTAACAACAACTGAATACGAATGAGGATCAGAAGAAGGATGGGAGTCTGAAGAATGATGACGATCTGAAAAGCGATGGGGCTTATGAAAATGATGAGTATCCTGACGATCATCAAACCAATGAGAAATATTTAGAGGTACTAATACTTCCCTTATACTATAATTTTGATAATTTTGTATTATTAAGTTATTGTATGAACTTTTAGATAGAGGTGCAAGGTAAAACCGAAGAAACCGATTAAACCGACAAAGTCGACCGAAACCGAAGGCAATTTGGGTGGCCTCGACATATCCAACCTGGAAATAGGCTAAACCTAGATTAGACGGTTCAGTTTTGGGTTTGATTGTACCAAACCCCGCTTGAACCCGAACCGAACTGCCACGTTCAAAGTAACGTTTAAAAAAAATATCCACCTCTATACAAATTGAGGACGTGTGTTGTGCTTGTCACTTGTCATGGATAAACATCAAATACGTTGTCATGTCACTTTCATGCTTTAGTTTTACTTTTTCTTTAATTTTAATTTTTGTTTATAAAGTATCAGACATTAATTTTTTTCATTTGTCTGGAACTTCTCTTCTCCTAAGTCCCGTTGGTGTGAAGTTGTCAACCAGAACCTTCTCAAAACATTTTATTTTAAACATTTTCCTTTTAAAGTTCAACTTCAGTTTTTGGTAAAGGTTTCTTTTTTTTTCCTGCAAAGGTTTTTTTTTCTTTGTTGCAAAGACAATGGTTTTTTTTTCTTCATGCAAAGGTAAATATTTTCTTCCTTAGACGCTTCTGTCGCAATGTCACCGTGACACGGAGTGGCCGACATCATCCCCTTAAGGGTCTCTTTCCTATTATTTTATTTGGTCCAAAAAAAATGTGTTTTTTTTATTTAAATGTCTCGCGTTATATTAATTTGCACTTTGTTATAAGATATGAATTAATAGATATGAGTGGCACACGAAGGCCATTAGAAAAATTTTATCACCTCTAGAATATTGGAAGGTTCCAATTTCCTTCATTGGAGTTTTCGAAATAATTCTTAAAAGCAATAATATAAATAATAATAATAATAAGAAGAAGAAGAGAGGGACATATAAGGGCTTAAACTTGTAATGTGGATATCAAACATCAAGTCCACTACCACCATGCCAACACATAATATTAGATTAGTTAGTTACATATAGTGTATTGATTATTTTTATATGTAATTGCTTGTATACAGTTGGGTGGTCTATATATAGACCTGTCTTTTATTAATAAAGATATGCAAGTTTAATTTACTCTCTCCTTTAATATGGTATCAGATGTATTGTTTAGAGAGTAACACGTGTTCTCCACTTTAAGCGGTTACCAATTCGTTTCCGCCATTGCTGCTTGCATCTCGATCTTCTCTCATGGAGGAAGACGATTCTCTTAATCCCACTGCTCCGGGTTTCATTCCGATGAATCCGATTGTTGTTGAGCAACATGCCAATCCATATTTTCTTCATCACTCTGATAACACCAGCCTAGTTTTGGTTTCTGATCTCTTGACTGATGAAAATTACACCTCGTGGAGTCGATCTATAGTTATTGCTCTTACAGTAAAAAACAAAATAGGTTTTGTTGATGGTTCGATTTCTCGTCCCACTGATGGTAGGCTGCATTCTTGGATTATATGCAACAATGTCGTAATCTCATGGATTTTCAATTCATTGTCCAAGAAAATCTCTGCTAGTGTGCTCTTCTCTGATTCTGCTCATGAAATTTGGCTAGATCTCAAAGAGCGATTTCAACGCCAGAATCGTCCCCGCATATTTCAACTCCGCAGAGAATTATCGAATCTTACTCAAGATCAACTCTCCGTCACTGCTTATTTCACTCGATTGAAGACACTTTGGTCTGAATTAGCTTTGTATCGACCTGCGTGTTCTTGTGGTCGGTGCTCCTATGGTGGCGTGAAATCTATTGAAGCGCATTATCAGCAAGAGTATGTTATGGCTTTTCTGATGGGCTTAAACGTGTCTTTCAGCCAAATTAGAGCTCAACTTCTTCTGATGGAGCCCGCGCCTACAATCAACCGTGCCTTTGCCCTAGTTGCACAGGAAATGCAGCAACGATCTATTTCGTTGCCCTCTGTTACTTCACCTACTGCTTCGGCTGTACGCGCAACTTCAAATTCCTCGAATTCTCGCTTGAATTCTTCATCGGCATCTCACATGAAACGAAAGGATAAATCGCTATGCACTCATTGTGGTATCTACGGTCATACCGTCGATAAATGCTATAAGTTACATGAATATCCCCCTGGATATCGTTCATCTGTGCATAAAACCACATCTTCGAATGCCACATCTTCACGGTCTGCTGAAGCTCCGTCCAAATCTGTATCGGCTACACCTTCAGGGATTTCTAATTCTCTTGCTACACTTACTGCTGATCAATGCCAGAGGCTTCTCACTTTGCTTCAATCACACTTAACCACTACCAAAACTGCTTCTGATAATGATTCTGGAACTTCTCATGTGGCAGGTACCTGTACATCCTTACCTTCAATTTATTCCTCGAATTGTTGGGTTATTGATTCGGGTGCATCCACACATGTTTGTTTTTGTCGGGATTCTTTTGTGTCTCTGCGCTCAGTCACTGGTGTGAGTTTATCTCTTCCGAATCATGATCGTATAAGTGTGGACTTCATTGGTGATGTGCATATCAACTCTGCCATAACATTACAGAATGTGCTTTTTGTTCCTACTTTTAGGTTCAACTTGCTTTCTGTCAGTGCACTTACAAAGTCATCTTTTGTGTTGGTTAAATTTGTTGATGGTTGTTGTCTTCTCCAGGACAAATTCTCTTCAAAGATGATTGGCAAGGCTTGTATCTCCTATCCACTCATTCTACTAAAGAATCTTTTTGTAATTTTGTTAGTATGAATTCTTACCAACTTTGGCATGATAGGTTAGGTCACCCATCCCCTAAACACCTACTGTCATTACGAGATACTTTGCATCTTGGTTCTCATAAATACAATAATGCAACCCCTTGTTTGATATGTCCTCTGGCTAAGCAAAAGAACTTACCCTTTGTCTCGCATAATTATAGATCTCCCACCCATGCCGGTTGTCGTTATTTTTTGACTTTTGTTGATGACTTCTCCCGTTACACCTGGATTTTTTTGATGCGCCAGAAATCTGATGCTTTTGTCATTGTTTCTCGGTTTTTTCAACTCATAGAAACACAGTTCGGAAAAACAATCAAGAGATTCAGGTCTGATAAAGCTCCGGAGTTATCTTTTGTTGAGTTTTTTCACTCCAAAGGGGTTCTTCATCAGTTTTCTTGTGTAGGATGCCCTGAGCAAAATTCAGTCGTTGAAAGAAAACACCAGCACCTTCTTAATGTAGCCCGTTCCTTGTATTTTCAGTCTCGGGTTCCAACTGCTTTCTGGGGTGAATGTGTGCTTACTGCTGCTTACTTAATTAATCGCACTCCAACGCCTGTTCTTGACTGGAATACTCCTTATGCTCGTTTATATGGACACTCAGCGGATTATTCTTCTTTAAAAGTGTTTGGCTGCCTATGCTTCGTGTCTACCTCTCCAGTCAATCGTTCTAAATTTCATCCACGAGCCCTTACATCAGTTTTTGTTGGATATCCACCGGGGATGAAAGGATATAAGCTTTATGACATTGAGAATAAGCGGTTTTTTGTGTCCAGAGATGTGATTTTCCATGAATCCATATTTCCATTTCATACAGTATCAGTTAACTCTCCGATTGTTGATCCTTTTCCGGGTGTGGTGATACCAAAGTCTTATGATTTGGTTGATACTTCTTCTGGTGCACCTGATGATCATCACAATTATGCTACTGGTTCTGCTGTTTCTCCTACTAGTGCTGATATTTCACCTACAGTGGTTATACCTGATGGTTCTCCTATTATGGTTGCTAATGAATCTGATGCCAATGGTTCTCCTATTCTGGTTGCTAATGAGTCTAATATTATGCCTAATATTGTTGAGAACTCTTTGATAAATCCATTGGACACTGATGTTGCCAATGTTGATTCTGCTGTCGTTGTTCCATGTTCTGATCCTTCAGACTCTGTTACTCTTCGACGATCATCTCGTGTAGCACAACGACCGTCCTATTTACGAGACTATCATTGTGGACTTATTCAAGCCACTGATCACTCTGCTTCTTCAGTTTTTTATCCCTTGCAGAAATATTTGGACTACAACAACTTGTCTGCCTCTTACAAAGAGTTTGTCCTAAGTGTATCTTGTGATTATGAGCCTCAATTCTATCACCAAGCTGTCCCATTTTCCCATTGGCGAGAGGCGATGCGTGCTGAATTACATGCTATGGAGGCTAATCATACTTGGTCCGTGGTACCTCTTCCTTATGAACATCATTCCATTGGGTGCAAGTGGATATACAAGGTCAAACATAAGTCTGATGGCTCTATTGAGCGTTACAAAGCCCGGTTAGTCGCCAAAGGCTATACTCAACAGGAAGGTCTCGATTATATTGAAACATTTTCTCCAGTAGCAAAGTTAGTTACCGTTAAGGTTTTGCTTACCCTTGCTGTTTCTTTCAACTGGACTCTTGTCCAACTTGATGTTAACAATGCATTCTTGCATGGCGACTTATTTGAGGAAGTATATATGGATCTTCCTCTAGGCTATAAACATGGAGTTGTTCCTAAACAGGGGAGAAACTTGTCTGCCGGCTTCATAAGTCTATCTATGGACTCAAGCAAGCTTCACGACAGTGGTTTGGCAAATTTTATCGATCTCTATTGCTTCTTGGTTTTACACAATCCAAGTCAGACTACTCTTTATTTGTTAGAGGTTCGGGTGATACCTTTATTGCACTTCTTGTGTACGTAGATGATATCATCATTACCGGGTCGTCTTCATCTCTGATTAATTCATTGAAGACACATCTTAACGATGTTTTTTGCCTAAAAGATTTAGGTGATTTAAGGTATTTTTTAGGCCTTGAACTAGCCCGTTCCTCCACTGGCATTTCCTTGTGTCAACGTAATTATACTCTGCAATTGGTTGAGGATTCTGGTCTTTTGGCATCTAAACCAACCTCTCTGCCTATGGATCCTTCTATTAGATTGTCTTCTTCTGATGGTGATTTGTTGACAGATCCTACTTCATATCGGCGACTTATCGGACGCTTGTTATATCTCACTATCTCGCGACCCGACATCACTTTTGCTGTACATAAGTTGAGCCAATATGTTGCTCACCCACGACAGTCTCATCTCTCTGCAGCACATTATCTTGTTCGTTATTTAAAGGGGACTCCTGATCAAGGACTTTTTCTAAGTCGTTCTGAGTCTTTTTAGTTACGCGCATTCTCTGATGCTGACTGGGCATCTTGTCTTGACTCTCGGAAATCCACTACTGGGTTCTGCATTTTTTGGGTGATTCCATGGTTTCTTGGAAAGCTAAAAAACAGACCACTATTTCTCGATCCTCGGCTGAGGCTGAGTATCGAGCCCTTGCTGCCACTACTAGCGAAATTATTTGGCTCACTTACCTCTTGGGTGACTTACAAGTTCCGCTTCGTTCTCCGGCTCTCCTTTTTTGTGATAACCAGGCGGCTATTCACATTGCTTCCAATCCGGCATTTCATGAGCGGACGAAACACATTGAGCTGGACTGCCATTTTGTACGGGATAAGATTGTTGATGGGCTTATCAAACTCTTACCTGTTCGTGCTGCACTTCAATTAGCAGACTTGTTCACTAAAGTTCTCCCAGTTCCTTCTTTTACTCTTTTACTGTCCAAGATGGGAATTATTGATGTACACTCTCCATCTTAAGGGGGAGTACTAGATTAGTTAGTTACATATAGTGTATTAGTTAATTTCATATGTAATTGCTTGTATACAGTTGGGTGGTCTATATATAGACCAGTCTTTTATTAATAAAGATATGCAAGTTTAATTTACTCTCTCGTCTAATACATAAAGATGTAATTTAAGTTCCTTTTCAAAATACAAACCTTTTACTTTTAAACTTTGTTTTTTAAAAAAAAAAACATTTTATTTTGTTTTAGATTTGAAATTCGTATAAAAAAAACTTATTTAAAACTTACTTAAAACAAACTTATTTAAAAAATCTCTTACTCACTTTTTTCAAAACTTTATTTAACAAATCCTTATTTTAAAATCAAACTTTTGCCCACTTTGTAATTTGAGATTCATTTAAAAATAAAATTCGTTTTCTTTTAAATCTTTTATTTACTTTCCTAAACCCTAAACCGTAAACCCTAAACTTCTTCCAACCTAGTTTTTACTAAATCAAAATTTTTTATTCATTTTTAAAAGAGAATTATTTTAGAAAAATTTACATTTTAAAAGCTTCTTTTTTTTTGTCAAAACCTAAAACAAAATTTTTAAAAACATTTATTCGGTGCTTACATAAAACAAAATCCTCCTTTGAAAAAAAACTCATCTTGTATAAACAAAAATTTTTATTTTAAAACAATTTTTAAATATTAAAAAAAAATTATGTATGATCTTTTCACAACGTTTCTTTTCTTTCAAAACTTTTTATGAAAAATTGGTTTCGTTTACTGGTAAAAAAAAAGAAAAAAAAAACATTTTCTTTTCTTTTCCAGAATCATTTTTGTTTATTAACAAAAAAGTTTATCTTAAGAAAAAACACCACCTTTACTCATTTAAGTTGCCTTAATCATCGGAATGGAGGTCGCAGAAGTGATTGGTCGTCGCCGCATCAGGATCGGTCGCTGGAGTTTGTGTTCTTAGTGCCAGGTTCAGCTATGTCGTCGTTGGAAGTCCCGATATGTCAATTGCTACGAGTTAGTTGGAGGTTCATGGTCAGAAAGAAACCCAACGCCACCAAGAGATTGGAATAGATGGAGGTTTGGGGATTTGTTTTTTTGGTTTCTTGAAGGCTGAAACCGAATAAGAAGAATGAAAAGGAGGGAATGAAATGATTTTATGAGATGAGTATTGCCTTAATCACCGGAATGGAGGTCGCAGAAGTGGTGGTCGTCGCCGCACCAGGATCGGTCGTTGGAGTTTGTGTTCTTACTGCCAGGCTCAGCTATGTCGTCGTTCGAAGTCCTGTTGTGTAAGTTACTGCGAGTTAGTTGGAGGTTCATGGCCAGAAAGAAACCCAACGCCACCAAGAGATTGGAACAGAGGGAGGTTTGGGGATTTGTTTTTTTTGGTTTCTTCAAGGCTGAAACCGAATAAGAAGAATGAAAGGGAGGGAATGCAATGATTTTATGAGATGAGTATGTTCAGGAAGCGTGGAAATGATGGAAAAAATGAAGGGAAGTGAGAGGGAAAAAATGTTTTATTTTTTTAGTAGTAGAGAGAGACAAAGAAAAGAAAAATCAAAATCCTCACTTTTCACTTAGTTCGTTCTTCTCTGCTTCCTCCGCCTCTAAAACCAAAAAAACCTCCTTATATAGGAGAACATGTGAATTAATTACGAAGTTAAATTGATTTTGAGAAGAAAAAAAAAGGGTAGAAGAACGAAACTTACTCCTCTCACTTGACTCTGAAAAAATAAAACCTTACAAATACTTAATCGGTTTTTTATGTTATTTTCTTTTTTTATAACAACAATTATTAAATAAATAATAATAATAATAATAACAAATCCTTTTTTTTTTTAACAAAAACTATTTTAAACAAGTAATTTAATTAAAACTTTACATTCAAACTTGTAATAAAGTATACTTATGTTAACAATGTCTACAGCTTCTTCTACTTCTGTGTTTTATTTATTTTCTCCAACTCTTCCACTTGGTCGTTGAACTTGATGGGATCGAATCTCCAATGGAAGCGATTTACCGTTTGTGTTCAATTTTTTTTTTTCGAATTAGAATTTACACAGAACAAAAATACAGGGAAGAAAACCTCTTACCCTTGAAGAACATTTGTGCTGTTAAATCAATCACACCACCAATAGATTTTTCTTGCTATCTTCCTTCGACGCTTCTTCTTCTACTTCTGTGTTTTATTTATTTTCTCCAACTCTTCCACTTGGTCGTTGAACTTAATTGCATCGAATCCCCAGTGGAAGCGATTTATCGCTTGTGTTCGATTTTTCTTTTTGAATTAGAATTTACATAGAACAAAAATACAGGGAAGAAAACCTCATACCCTTGAAAAACCTTTCTTCTCTTAAATCAATCACACCACCAATAGATCTTCCCTACTATCCTCTAGATGTTAGGAACTTGGTTTGTAGGAAACCGTGTTTGAAAAACATGAACTTTTGTAGAGAGTTATGAGAGAGAACTCCTTGGATGATCATCAACCCAACACAGTACAATTTTGTGTTTTTTAACGTGAAAGGGAAGAGAGAGAAGTGAGAGTAACCTCTCACTCTTCACCTCACCATTTCTAGCATAACTGTTGGAGAGTGGTTAATTAAATAATTTAATAAATAAATTAAATAATTAATTAAATTAAAACGATTTTAATTAAATTAATAACTAATTAAATCTTATTTAATTAATTAATCAAATAAACATAATTTAATTAAATCAACTAATATTTGAATCGTAGTCAAGTATACATTTCCCTCCTAACCTATAGTATTAATACGAATCTAGTTCACATTAAATTTTAACCTATAGTTTTAACATGAATCCAATTCCCATAATTCTCTCATAATATATAGTTTTTATGATGCATCATTATACATTATATTAATTGTGTCATACACAATTAACTCAAATTCCTTTTAATGAATTTGAACAATTTAAATTCTTTTCAAAACAAAATGTTCTTAACTATCCTTTATGAGCTAGTAGGGGGACTTGATTGACCCACATATCCGAAGCTGCAATGATACAAGATTAAATGATTAAACTCATTATTCATATTAATCAACATTTGTTAACTATTGGTCACTCCACTAAAGACCCACAACTGCACTCTTCTCACTCTATAATATTTATGTATCCACGGATATTAACCATTGTCAGCAAGTCAATCTTTCACAAGTGTTCGTAACCACAGATAGGTCAAATTACCGTTTTACCCCTATGTTACATCGTGTACCTTAAGTACTGCTGATCCTTTAATGAAGAACCTAGTTATGGTTCGACCAATAATCAGAAGTCCCTCTCGGGCCAGTGAGAGGGTGGGGCCCATTGTTCAAGTCCCAGAGTCAATACTGAAGGGAACACTCATCTCCTCCCCTAAAATCGAGGAGATGAATGTATTCTATCTTGTGAAGTTATGTTCCCAACTCCCCACTCGGTATCGTACCCAAAATGGTAGGAATGTTGAGTCGGTGACTCGGGCCATTTTCACTCATACAGATCAAAGAACGATCTCTTACAGGCAAGAGGCCATAACTCACTCATGATTAAGAATGAGTTGCCTGGTCATCCTATGAAATAGCAATCTATTAGTCAACGGTGTTACATCTAAAGATTGACTATTTCACGGACTGATCTTATACAAGCTCATTGTATAGGATACCCTCACTCGCATGTCTCCACATGAACGACCTAGATCGGGTCGTCTGTAACATTTACAAAGTGGGTCGTATTCGTAATGTTGCCACAATAAGGTACTCAGCCTTATCCATATACTATAGACACTTTAGGTTATTCCTGGGACATTATCCACTTATATATCGATGGTATATCAAATATATACCCAATATATAAAGGAAACCAAAGGACTCCTACAAATAGAAGTGGTCCCCTAGATAATATAGGTACGAAAAATGACACAATACCACTCAAAACTATTAAATTGAGTCTTCTCATTTCTCTCCCTTAGACTTTCTAAGGAATTAAGCATTGGAGCGTGTTATGTCGGCACCATGCTGGCGTTAGTTCACTCTTTCTATGTGCAGGTCAACCTTGATCCAGCTGTTTGTGTCAACAATCTATCTTTCCCCTATTCACAACCCGTCGGGTCAAATTTGGACCATCCAGTTCAATTGTCCTCCTTAAATTACGTTTCAACAAAACCGACAAACTGCCGGTTTATCGGTTCGATTCTACGATTCACCGATTAGCATTGCTTTGTAGATTTTAGGGTTTAAGGCTACTATAAATTTGTCTGCCTATTGTATTTGGTGTAGGTACGTCACTGGCGCGAGACAAGATTATCAAAAAGACGAGTGAGTGGGAGCCGAGAGGGGGAGGGAAAGAGAATGGGGAGGTGGGGGTGACAATGATGAGGGAGGGGGCACTACCTACCTTATTATGTTGTCGTAGTGGATTTACTTGTCAAGACGGAAGAGTAGGGGTGCAAGGCAAAACTACATCGACGGAGAAAGGCCGAGTACATTGGTTCTAGTCGATTTTCCAAATTTCTTCCTTTTTCGTCCATTGGTAGTTCCATTTTTATCATTATACAGAAGCCTGACTTAGATGCAAATGTACCTTGTAAGTTCTGTCAGGTGCGTTGCCCTAAACTCATAGTTTGTAATTATGTAAAAACAAATTTATAATCAATAAAGCTATGATTTCATATTCAATTAAATTGTTGTTAAATTTATAACATTGCATTGTCCAAATCCAATAAACTAAATATCCAAGGTTATTATCATGTAATCGGAACAGTATATTTCCAAGTAAACTTGGAGAGAAAGTTTGCATGAGAGACCGTGCACCATTTCACAAGAGTAGGTCATCGGTGGATGTGATGATGTAGGGTAGGGCTAAGATGATGGTACGTGGGTTGGGGTTTATGTTTAGCCGTATGGGTGGCATGTTGGCCGCAGAGAAGGCACGGTCAACACGACCTTTCAAGAGGGGGCGTAGCCAAGTGCGACCCTTCGAGCTGTCCCCAACAGGTTTGGTTCATCTCGGGTTTTAGACTACTTTTAGTTCAGCTTGATTTCCTATTTATCTATGATTTTTTATCAGTTTGGTTTAAGTTTGTCTAGAAAATCGAGCTAAACGAAACCGCTTACACCCCTACTTTTTGGAAATAAACATCG